GAACTAGAAGGGCCATTGGGCTAGGTGGCTGACACGTTTTCTGAATAGTTTTTATCCCCGAGCTATAATTGCGCTCAACAATGAACTAAAGGGCCACCATCAGTGAGTGAGCTGTTGGACAGGATTACTTAGTCTGTTGTGTGGATGCTTGGGTGGTTTTAGGGGTGGGGAATTTTTGGTGGGTAGGGGTGTGTCTGGGGATTGTCATGTGAGTTGGGTCTGGTCTCTGGGTGTTATGTGAATTTCATTGTATGGGTATACTGTGTATACACATACAATGACAATAAACTTTATTGACTGACTGATTGATTGATTGATTGATTGATTGATTGCAAGAAAATCTCCGTTATCTGAATTTCAAGATATGTATATAGGAAAAGATAAAGGCAAATATCCTATCTTTCCTGTCTGTATAGAGCAAGACTGTCAAACTCATGGCCCAGATGCATCACGCGCTGACTACACCCCCGCCTGGTTTAGCAAAGGGGAAAAAAGTCCCGATACATCATGTGACACTGCCATGATGACACAAGTTTGACACCCCTGGTATAGAGTGAATTTGAGAACCAGATCTGCAAGACAAACTGGGATCCTAGCGCGAGACTGAAAGATTTCCAATTTGACATATATACACTGCTCAAAAAAATAAAGGGAACACAAGCAGAAGACATCCGAGATCTGAATGAATGAAATAGCCTTATTAAATACTTTGTTCTTTACATACAGTAGTTTATACACTGCTCAAACAACTAAAGGGAACACAAAACTACTGTATGTAACGAACAAAGTATTTAATAAGGCTTATTTCATTCATTCAGATCTCGGATGTCTTCTGCTTGTGTTCCCTTTATTTTTTTGAGCAGTGTATATAGACAACACAGCTTTATTCCACAGAAGTAAAGAAGCTGCAGACAAGTGATGGGAGCTGCTGATGGATAGAAAAAATGACTACTGAAGTCTGCTTGGCAAGTTGAGGAAAGTAAGAGGAGGAGAAGAGAATGGATGAAGTGAATCAATAGGGATCAAAGATATTTCAGAATAAATTATGAGAGAACTATGGGCTACTATTGGAAATAGATTGAGATGGTAGGCACTTGCTTATATAATCAGCAGAAACTGAGCTCTGCCTGGAAGTTCTATTTCTGGAGGTATAGGAGGAAAATTAATCTAGATGGCCTACTAAAAGGCAGAGACATCACCCTGCCAACAAAAGTGTGTATAGTCAAGGCTATGGTTTTCCCAGTTGCAATGTATGGCTGTGAAAGTTGGATCATAAGAAAGGCTGAGCGGCAAAGAATTGAGGCCTTTGAACTATGGTGCTGGAGAAGACTCCTGCGAGTCCCTTTGACTGCAAGGCGATCAAACTGGTCAGTCCTAGAGGAGATCAACCTCGACTGCTCTTTAGAAGGCCAGATCCTGAAGATGAAACTCAAATATTTTGGCCACCTAATGAGAAGGAAGGACTCACTGGAGAAGAGCCTAATGCTGGGAATGATTGAGGGCAAAAGAAGAAGGGGACGACAGAGAATGAGGTGGCTGGATAGAGTCACTGAAACAGTCAGCGTGAGCTTAAATGGACTCCGGGGGATGGCAGAGGACAGGAAGGCCTGGAGGAACATTGTCCATGGGGTCGCGATGGGTTGAACATGACTTCACGACTAACAACAGGAGGAAAATTGTGGGTTTTATTTTCTTGGGCTGCATTATATCATCATTTAAGAATTACTTTAATATTTTACCATCACTGAAGGAAAAAGATGGCTATAGAATCTTAATGATAGAATCAACTTTCCAAGTCTTCATCCCAACACTAACTCCATGGACAAGAGATCTCGCCAACTCTTGAAAAGCATAGAGTCTTTTTACACAAGAACTGCAGCCTTTGGAAGGTAGTGCGTTACCTGAAAACAGCTATTGGAAAGAAGCAATTGGATGGAAAAGGAAACTCCCATAAGCTTTCCCCAATAGGGTGGGATACCTCTGACTGCCATAATCGAATCAACAATTGGATCTCGGAGGAAATCTGATCTCTTAGGTGGATTACTAGAAGGCAGTGTCCATTGGTCAAACTCTGCATTTTTATATCACGCCACTCATTTCCCAGTTTCTGGAGAGTCTCTATTAATCCTTAGGTTTGTAATATCAGCTGATATTGGGCCTTTTTCTATAGCTGAGTCAATGGATTAGACCTAGATGGTGAAAGATTTTAGACTCCAAACCAGATTTTGAAAAGATTTGCTTGCTGATTTTTATTACGCTTCCTTTAAAACAGTGGTTCTCAACCTTCCTAATGCTGCAACTCTTTAATACAGTTCCTCATGTTGTGGTGACTCCCAACCATAAAATTATTCCTAAAACCATTGAAAATATGTGTTTTCCGATGGTCTTAGGCGACCCCTGTGAAAGGGTTGTTCGACCCCCAAAGGGGTCGCGACCCACAGGTTGAGAACCACTGCTTTAAAATGTTGTACAACCTACATTTTGCTTCTTTGATCCTGCCATTTCTTCAAGTGGAGTATATAACCATTGCTCAATTTTGTATAGTACTAATTATCTTGTTATTATAGAAATGGATGCTTCTTGAAGCAGAAATATGGTCATTTTCAGTTCAGGTTTCTCATTAATCCTACCAACCTTCCCATACCTCTTTCCCCTATTTGTATCATGATCTACCTTACAATTGTCAGAAATTAGATCCTAGCAGATCCCTTGACATATTTTACCCTTTAATTTTCTGAAGTCAACGTGCATGTCATATTTACTGCTGAATTATATTCTCTGAATGCATTTGTCTCCAGAGACTAAGCTATATCAGGGATAGGCCAAACAACTTAGTCAGACCTACTGTCTACTATGGTAGCTGCCATTTCTGCTGCAAATTAGAACTATGCTACACTTAGCCATTGGCCCAGAAGTATGATCGACCCAGCAGAACTAATTAGGATTGGGAGTTCCATAGTGAATTGTCAAAGCAAGGTACTGTGCTTTTAGTAAATTATGTTTTGTGTATATGTCATTTTTAAAAAAAAGCTTGATAAAGCATCTGTCCTCTCCCCCCCATCCCTCCAGTAAAATGTTGATTGTTCAAATCAACTTCACTCTCATTTTGATAAGAAGCTATAACCTGATGGCTTCCTGCAACAAGAGAACCTCCAGAATGCCCTGAAACTCAAGAGAAAATATTTTGGAGAATTCTGGAGATTCCAAAGGAGTGAGTTCAGAGGACAGGGAGCTAATGGGTAACAAAGGCATTTTATGAGTTCCTGGCCTATAGTCCCTATTCTACTATAGACCGGATATCTATACAGTCACCTTTAATTAAGCACATTCAGTGCAATACTGGGAGGCATCAAGCCAAATCATGCTCCATCCATTGCTGCTGTTTAGGTTTTTGATTGTCTCCTCTTTCCCTGCTGTTTTGTGTCATTCTCCCAGTCCACAATACTCAGACTTCCGCTAACATGCTATTTTTTTCTTTCATTGTTTTGAAAAGTCGCCCCCAAAGTTCCTCTGCCTTCCTGTACTTCTAAATGTGCATCTACCTCCTTTCTGTGCAGAACTGGTGCTGTTCTGGCCAAATAATCTATTTTCCCTGTGCTTATATTTGAGAAACTGCTTAGGATTGCAAATTTTTAGCCACAATTCCTCAACTATAAAATGGGAAATATATTGACTTCCTTCTCAGGGTTGAGAAGATAAACAATTATAATACACATTGTATGGAAAACAATCAGATTGTAATTAGATACACTGAGAAGTTATATTGATTCCTTTTAAATTAATTCTGCTTAGGACAGCTGAATAAAAATGCTGCAAGCAGTAAAGCATCATTATTAAAGTTGTAGATACCTCTGGAGTTTTATGATAGTGAGGCAACTCTAATATTTAAAACTAGGATAATTAGAATACATTTAATCACTTCAGGTATTTTTTTTATATTCAACTTGCTAGTTGCCTCTCAATTTTCTTCTTAATCTCATAATGCTTTCCAAGTCCTAGTGACTTCTCTAATGCCTCAGGGCATTTCACTACAAACAGATTTCTTGCTAAAGTTGTTTGGCCAGCAACCTGGAGGGATATTTAAAATGTTCTGTGAGCACCTTCACAAAATGGCTTGCATTGTGAGAGTATCCGTTCTCCAGAAGGAAAACTAGTGAAGCTAAGATTAAAGTAATTGGTCCATAAATCAAAGCTGAGCTGAGTTCAAAAATAAAACTACTCTTTTAAACTCAAAATTCTCTTAAATAGGAAAAAAAAAATGTTCTCAGCTGGACTTCAAATGACTGACCTTGCCTGATTTTCACATAAGTGATAAGTTATCAAAAGAATGAATCATTTAGGAGAACATATATACAGGATCAGGCATTCACTTTGTGTCCTTTGAGGACACAGAAAACTATATAGCAGGGACAAAGGAATCTAGATAAGCCATACTATTTTCTATTAAATATGTTAATTTCATACAAAAGCACAATAAATTGCAAGTAACTCCAATTGTAATTTGAAATGGGAAAGCCAATACAGAAGTTCGTTTTCTTCATACCATAAAACAAGAAGTCAAAACACACAAGGATAACATTATTTTGTCCTAGTTGCCTATGTTTGCAATCAGAGTGACTATGAGCTGTTGCTTCCCCCCCCCCTTTTTTTTTGAAACAGTAAGAAACTGAAATGCAGTTCTCAAGTTTCAACTGGATCAGGCACTCCAGTTTAGGTGTGACTTTCTGCAATGAAACAATGGGCAAGTGGGCATCTGCCATTTATCTGAACAAGTCATGAGAATGCCTAACCTGGCAGAACAAATGTAACATGCCATTAAGGCAGAATGATAGGACAGGAAACTATCAAGAAGAGCTATGAGAGAACATTCTCATCTTCCTAGAGTGGTCCAATCATGATGACAGTTTACTGGAAGGCAAGTCTGTTGGTAGCATGTTCCTCTCAGGTCTATTGTGTTTATTTATTAAGAAAATTCCTCTATGAAGAAAAACAATCAAATGTAAAAAAAAAAAAACTTCAAACGTTTATTAGGACATACAGTTATTATGTCTGTCAGTCTACACACGAGTTTGCTACTAAAAATAAAATGTCTACGATTCACAAAACCAAAAAAGATCTACACTTTTTGAGTGCCAAGCCTAATGTATAAATAAGTGACTCGTTCCTTTTCATATCAAAATTCACATTAAAAAATTGCCAGCTCCCATCCCACCCCCAGGTTCTACCTAAAAAGCCATGATGAATGTAAAAATTTAAATACACGCACAATCTTGTCAAGGGAGAAGGGGAAGGGAGAAATAGGAGAAGATCCTATTAAGAGCCTTAGGATTGGCATTTGCAGCATTTGATCATACAATTTATGTACTCATTCCCAAAGGTGCAAATATTGCCAGGAGATTAATACTGCTTTAATTCAGCTGCAAGAAATTATATATGTGTGTGTTTGTGTGTGTGTGTGTGTGTGTGTGTGTTTATGTGTATGTATGTATGTAACTGAACAGCACTGAGAAGGCTTCATTCCGCAGCCTAAAACTCCTCACGTCACTCTCCTGAACTCACTGGTGGAGTTGAGAGAGAGGTCACTGGAGCTTTAAATTACTTCATACTGCCTGTACTGTCCAAAATGTCTTTTTTAATGAAAAAAAGACAAAACATTTAAGTGTTGAATACTCCAGCATAAAAAAAATAATCAAGATTGCTATAGATTACATGAATGTAAATGCCCTATCTGACATGCCCAAAGCATTACCCCCCACATACTGGAGCACTGCTCTAGCCCAACACAGTCCTCCATATTGGCATTGGTTGAACTCCAGGCCTCTACATGATTTTGGTCAGTGTTCTTAACCAATCTCCATTCACTGCAGAATGATGAGGCCAAGGAGACATACATACTACTTTTGTCCTTCTGTTTAATTTTCTCATTTCAATATGAGCAATACTGACTTTTGTTTCACTAGTCTCTCTGTCTCTGTCTCTCTCTGTCTGTCTCTCTCTCTCTTCACCCTCTTCTTGTGTTCCTTCCCTTGAGATTCTCAGCCCCAAATATTCAACTAGGATTCCCAGATTCTGCCTTTTTGTAATACAGAGGCAGATTCTGAAAGCAGTTTCCAGTGGAATGCTCTGGCAGCCCCGTAAACCAAGCAGCTCACAGAAATCAGCATGGGATATTATAAATACATTTTGGCCAGCATTCTGAGAATTACACTCGCTCACAACAAGAAAAAGGAGAAGACTCCGTCTGCTGAGCCCTGGAGTAGGTATTTTTGCACCAGTCTTTGCTAGTTCAATTCTGGATGCCTCCTCTTAGATCTTGTGTTATCACCTCTTCCTCTTCTTCAGCCAATCCTTCTGAGGCAGTTGTTACCTGATTGGCTTCACTGGAAGATGCATTGTCCAAAGTGTTGTAATCTTCCTTGACATCAACAGAGTCCTGCCCTATGACAGCTTGTCCATCGTCCACAGGCTCAACTCCATTCCCTTCCTGGTGTTGAATATTGGGGGCTCCAGTAGCTTCTTGCTGAACAGTATGTTGCTCTGCTCCAAGATTTACTTGTGGCACTGGCTCTGGTCCAAGCCCAGGGGGCTGAGTTGTGTTTTTAAGTTGGCAATGGCACAAGGGACAGGTTTCTTGCACATACAGCCATTTCTTAAGGCAGCCCGCATGAAAAAAATGACCGCAGGGTGTGATGATAGCTGATTTCATGTCCTGAAAGGAAGAGACACCATTATGCCATAGTAATTAACAACAAATACATTTCCCATGTCTAATATTCCCATTTCCCATGTCTAATATTCATCATTACATCTAGCCTCTGTTGACACTTTTATCTGTCATTATTTACACATAGCCTGACTTCTGCATTTGGTGCAATCTGTATATATTGGATTTTAACTCCCGTTATTTTCAATCACCAATGGGAATTGAAATTCAGTAGATTTTGAGGGCACCCATGCTGAGACTGATTACTTTATATTCTCTGCCTGAGTAAAATGTAATATCAAAAAACATGAAGCTTAACATTTCGTTCTGGGTAGGCACTATTTAGATCAAAAGGTTAATGTACTAACATTGGCAAAGTTATCAAGATGCTGCAATTCTATGCAGAAAGGGCACAAAATGCCATTGTAGGTATACCTTATTTGGCTTCTTAAATTGACGTCCAGTCAAAAGCAAAACATGGTTCATCCTACTTCTAGATCCCTTCACAGATAAATATGGAAAGAAGAATCCTATGTTGGGTCTAATCTGTGCTCCATCAAGCTGATTTCAGTTCTTCACAAACTGATTCTATTACTCAACAGTAGAGTCTATAGTTACATGTGCCTTGCTGGGTGTTCCAGCATTTTTCTACATGCATTGTGAGGAAAACCACTACTGTAATCTAGAGCTAGAGGAGAGAGATCACTACTGTAATGTGCTGAACTTCTGAGGCCATTTCAAGAATCTTCTGAATGCAAAACAATGTAAGATCATCTTTATTTATCCCTCAACTGCACATCAAATTGCTGCTCTGGGCTGCATCTGCAATCAAAACCTGAAGTGCTGCTGTTGCAGAAGTCCAGTATGAATCTTTCTCCAAAAGGAAGATTTGTGAGATCTTTGTGATCTCACAAACCTGCAGGAATAGTCATGACTCAGACTTTACACTTTTTATTTAGCCAGGATCTATGATCTGTTGCTTAAAATGCTTTTCTTTGGAAACACCATGAAGCCTAGATTCCCAAACACTCAAACACAATTATTGCTATCCACTTGTGACTTGGATTTGTTTCCCTTAGAATTCCAGTTAGAAAATACAATACATTTTGCTTCTGAAGAACCACACGGGCACCAGAATGTTGGTATTCAAAACCAATCCAAAGCTATAAAGAGGAATTTTTAAAAGGAAAAAACTAAGCGATAACCAGAATGTGTGAGGAATTTAAAGCATGCTACAGAAGTGCTACCTCTGTGCTTATTTTAGTTTCATTGCACAGATTGCTTAAATGGCACAATCTAATTGAGATAATTGACCTTCTGGTCAACTTGCTCTCTCAAGAGGGCAGGAATAGGCCTGACTGATTGGATGGATTCTGCGATTGTCATTGCCAAGAGAGGTAGAATCTAATAAGACTAGATAGCAAACATATAAACAAACGAATAACCCACCATAAATGACAGACTTCAACTATAGGAGGCTATAGAAAAAATATGATGCTGGGACTCACCTATCAACATCTTATTTCTAGGTAAGTATCCTATAACTCATTTCAGTTGCCAGTATCAAAGTGAAGCCCTTAGTACTAAGTTACTATTTTTTTAATATCATATTATATTGTTAGGTTTACATCCCACTTTTAGCTTCCTCTTTTCCTGGGAGCTTAAGATGATAAATATTGCATTAGCTCCTCCCACTTCTCCCTCTACCACCACTCTGTTTGAGCTGAGAGAAAGTGATGGATTCAAAATCAGTGTGGGCATTTCAGCCCATTATACAACAGTAGTCTTTAAATCAATGCGGTTACTCAGCTGCCATGGTGGTGCAGTGGTTAAGAGTGCAGTACTGCAGGTACTTCTGCTGCCTGCTGGCTGCCTGCAATTTGGCAGTTCAAATCTCACCAGGCTCAAGGTTGACTCAGCCTTCCATCCTTCTGAGGTGGGTAAAATGAGGAGCCAAAATTGTTGGGTACTCTGTAAACCGCTGAGAGAGGGCTGTAAACGTGGTCTGTTGTATGGATGTTTGGGTGGTTTAGGGGTGGGGAATTTGTGGTGGGTTGGAGTGTGTTTGGGGATTGTTATGTGTGTTGGACCTGGTCTTTGGGTGTTAAGTGAATTTCGTTGTATGGATATAATGTGTATACATGTACAATGACAATAAAGTAGTAGTAGTAGTAGTAGTAGTAGTAGTAGTTGTTGTATTATTATTATTATTATTATTATTATTATTATTATTATTATTATTATTATTATTATTATATTATTATTATTATAGCACTGTAAAGCGCTATAACAGTCTAAGTGCTATTGCTACTGCTATTTCTCTGTAAAATGAAAGATGTGGACACCACCTCAGCAGCCGGCTTTTCCTTATTTTTTTATGCCAAGCAGTGACAAGGCTGGCTCAGTTAGCACTTTATGGGGCAGCTGAGCAGTAGTTTGCTAGCAATGCACTTCTCTGCTCCTTATACTTTGCAGGTAACAAGGTAAGTGATGGTTGTGTGGCATATGGAAATGTAGGGTCCCCGTTCATATAATCGTCCACTTTTTCCTTTCCTTTCCTGGTTCAGCAGCTGGAAAAGCTGATCCTACATTCTGGCACGCAACCTGCTTCTGCCCCTTTTGTCACACAGCTCTGTCCCTTCCCATTTCTGTCAGCAGGCAATTTCCCAGTTCGGCTCATTTAGAATTTAATCAAACTTGAAGCTTCAGCCTTTTTATAACATACCACAAGGAGGAGCCAGAGCTGCTGAAGTTCAGCTTAATCATAGCATTTACCTGATAGCAGATGGCACAGATATCGTTATGCTGTTCCAACTGGTCTTTGGTGGCAGTGGGCAGCGATTTGATCTTATTGACAGCATCTCTGCGGAGAAGAAAGCTTTTCCATCCCAACTGAGCCCGAAGCCACACATTATAGTACGAATGAATGAAAATGATCATCGAGCCCATCACAGTCCATTCTCCAAAGATAGTCTCTGATACGCCATAGGCCACAACACAAAGAGCCACGAGAAACTCCAGCAGCCGATAGGTGCCATTCACGTAGTAAATAACATCATCCATGTTTTCTACCGGCTCTTTTCTGAACTCTTCCACCATAAATAAGAGATAAATGAAAAGAGTCCCCAGGACCTGAAGGAGGAAAGAAACAGAGCTTTTGATTAAAGCAGGCAAGTCACAAGGTTGAAGCTATTCAGTATTAGCCTTTATAGTTTTTGTAAATTACTAATGTTATAAATCAACTGCTATTATTGCCAAATACTAAATGAAATCTTGCTTAACAAAGTTCAAATCCAGGGCTTGCAAGTATGCCTGTGAAAAAAAGAAAGAGTGAGAGAAAGATTGTGTGCAGGGGATTGAGAGCTGTTCTACCCCTGGATAAAACAGCCTTCTGATCACATGCTCAACACATGCTCTGATCACACGCCTGAGATAGCGAGTGGGAGGGGGATATAAATTTAATAAATAAACAAACATTGCAGTTGAAATGCAAATGCTTCCATGTTTCGACACCAATATTTTAGACGGTATTTATATTTCCTTGGCAATGGATATTTTATATATTGATATAAATTTATTATGACATAGTTTACAAAATAAGCCAATGTGTTGTGCTTGGTCAGGAACAGAAAGGGCTGTAAGCAGGAAGGTGCAACATTTATTAGCTCAAAAGCTGTAACAGGGTTTGTCTAGAACAGGGGTGTCGAACTCAAGGCCCGGGGGCCGGATCTGCCCGCAAGGTGCTTAGATCTGGCCCGCAGGGCTGCCCTAGAAGCAGCAAAGGACTAGCCCACAGTGCTTCTGCCAGTAAAAATGGAGCTCGGGAGGGCCATGTGCAGTCCTCCCAGGCTCCATTTGCAGCTCTGACGGCCTTCTGCCGCCCTCTGCCATGAAAACGGAGCTCGGGAGCCGTCGCAGCTGCAAATGGAGCCTGGGAGGACCAGCAGAGAGCGCAGGAGGCTGGCGCTGTTGAAAATGGAGCTCTGGAACCCGTTTTGGCTAGTAGAGTGCTTGGACCACCACAGACACCCACAACATGAGTGATGTCAAACTGGCCACACCACCCCACCCCGGTCCCCGAAGTCAAACACAATCCTGATGCGGCCTTCAATGAAATCAAGTTTGACACCTCTGGTCTAGAATGGCCATACTCCAAAAATGGGGAAGACTTGGGCACAAGCCAATGAGAACTCAAGGAGTTCTAAGGGCAAAAAGGATGCCTTAAGAACCACAGAGCTTATGAGACCCATTTTGCCCTTCCAAAATCCCCAAAGATCCCTCCAAACATTACAGAGGGTGGTGAGTACAGCACAAAACATTGTGGGCTGTCCCCTGATACCACTAGATGAGATCGCTAGGGCTCGTTGCCTTAGAAGAGTGAGGAAAATTCTCAGGGACGACTCTCACCCTGATCATCACGTCTCCACCCTCGGGAAGGAGATATAGAAGTATAGCCAGTCGCACAAACAGGCTGAAGAACAGTTTTTATCCGTGGGCTGTCAGACTCCTGAATGAGAAATTAATCATAACTATGTAGTATGATGGACTGCAGGGCTGGTGCAATGTGTAACATGTTCACACTGGTGCAATAGCACTGGGTGTTTTGTTAATATGATTTATTGGGTTAGGGATTTTTTTTTTTGTCTTCACTGTGAGATGTATTGTGTTGGGGGGGGGTGCACTGAGGGAGCTCAACCAATCTCTTTGTACATATGTTGTGCACTGATAATAATAATAATAAATAATAATAAATAATAATAAATAATAATAAATAATAATAATAATAATAATAATAATAATAATAATAATAAATAAAAAACCAAAAAAAGTTTATTGGTCTTATTCATTCAAAAGGAAAAAGGAAAACTATTGTTGTAGATCTATATCATCCATCCATCATCATGGTCTGTCTGTCTGTCTGTCTGTCTGTCTGTCTGTCTGTCTGTCTGTCTGTCTTCTATCTATCTATCTATCTATCTATCTATCTATCTATCTATCTATCTGCTAAGAGTCAAAAATTATTTGATGCCACATAGTCAGTATAGGCAATCCTTGGGCTGCATATTTTGCACATCTCCTTTAAGAGAACAGGTGGAAAATGATCCTTTACTTATTCCCGTTCTGTTCTTTCCAACAGCTTGCCCAATACTGTGCTTGACTGGCTCTCTGTTGATCACAGGAATAAAGAGGCCCTTACAACTTACCTGGAGAGAAGTGAGAATGCTGCTAGAAATGATGATCAACAGCCAAAAGTCCATGTGGAAAAACTGACAGATCATGTAGGCCATGTAAGCTGGGAAAACCAGCAAGAACAAACACAGACTCACAGCACGAAAATGCTTCCAAAGGCTCCTATAAAAAGAAATTTCTCTTTAGAGCTACGTAGACTTTAATACAATCACAGAAAGGACTCGCTAGATTGCACGGGAGCCCATGTTATGGTTTTATTTACTTATATCCCGCCTTTATTATTTTTTTTTTTACAGATAACTCAAGGTGGCGAACATATCCAATACACCTTCTTCTTCCTATTTCCCTGCAATAACAACCTTGTGAGGTGGGTTGGGCTGAAACAGTGTGAATGGCCCAAAGTCACCCAGCTGGCTTTCATGACTAAGGCAGGTGTCTTACTTTCAAACATGGTGCCTTTCCTGCCATTTCTTCCTTTATCCTGAAAGTATGTAAGTAACATCCATATGTGCCTCATAATTCCCTTTGGATACATCTTAACAATTTGGTGACTCTATCTGGAGGAATCTGGAAGATATCTGACCGTAGCATCTGAACCACGGACCTCTGACACCCTAGCCTTAAGAGAATATTATATTGCAACAAAAACCTTCCTTTAGAAATGAGTTTATGCTGACATACTGCAATTGTCAGTTAATTTGCAGAGTACAATTTCTTACAACCCCATTGTCTTAAATTAAATCGTCACTCAATGGAACAGAATAGAATTTTCTGAGGATATATACCCATTCAGCCTTCAATAATACTTCCTGATTTGGCTACTATTAACTTTTCCCCCCAGAAGGTCCAGATTTGTATTTGTCCAGGCTCATACAGATGAAAACAAATATATGTCTTCCACAAAACCTTTCAGATCTGCTCAACAGACATAGCTTTAAATCATGGATAGTTTATTTCTGACCTCCCTTTTAACTGACAACAACCACAACATCCAATTTGCCTGATACGGATTTCTTGAAACATAATACTTGCACGCTATTTTGTAATCTTAAACTGCTCACATAACAGGCATTGCCTCAAATAGATTTGTTGGAATTTCTGACTCAGTCTTGATTTCTAAAAAATTTTTTAAAAAATTAAAACTAATGCTCAGCATCGTCAGCAGAGCAGGTAAAAGATGTGACAGGACTGCAAAAATAACAAAAGCCTGCCACTGAGACTACCCCAGGTTAAACTCAATGTTTAACACAGTTCAGAAGCCATCCAGTTATTTCACTTGATTGATGTGTGGCATGCTCTGCCTTGGTTGAGCCTCTCTATGCACAGAGAAGAATGGCTGACTAGCCTGGCTGACTGCTTTTCTATTTTTCTATTTAAAAAGTGAGGTTTCCACCCACCTTCTTCTGGGAAGAGCAAAGTTTGGACAGCACGTTATTGCTGCCTGTACAAATGAATGTGGAATGAATAGAAGACAAAACTGCTGAGGAAACTTTGTGTAAACACACAGGGCCGACATGCATATTTATGCTGTCTTTGCGTATATTCTCTTCTATTGGAACAATATTTTTTGGAATGCAAACTGCATTGGGATTCTAACTGCATTATCATATTACATTTCGGATGGCTGAAGTTATGCAATCATCTGGCTTCTGCATGCGTGTGGATGAAGGAAGTCAAGTCCCAAAGTAATAGAATAAGACAAATTGCCTCGAAGAGTAGGTGGTAGGGAATGCAAAAACAGATGACAAAATTAACCCCAACAGCTTAGTTCCTTTTATCTATCAGCGAGCTTCAACAAATGAAACGCCGAACACTTTGTGATATAATTTGAATGTGGTCAGCCTTCCATTTCATAGGATCAATCATTATTATGCAATGGCAGAATCACATTGTCATTGCTTCTTACTTCATGACCCAATTCAATTGATCTAAGCTAATTACATGCTTCTGCAAAGCTCATCTCTGTGTTATGAGGGCCTGAATACTGTACTATCAGTCATTCATGGTGATTTCAAGATGTAAGCTTCAGTACCGAATATTTAAGAACATTAATCCACTATATATATTTCCCCCCCAGATCTTCTTCCCACTATCTGGTTTGAAACCGGCTGATCAGAATTCCCATGGGCCAGCATCAACGTGGAGAATTAAGCCAGCTACTCTCCTTTAGCTCTGCTGTCCTCATTTCCCTTTGCTAAAAAATTTAATGACAACATGGTGCAAGCAACAGATGCCGCTAACAGGTGACCTCCAGCATAACTGGATAAAAATAAACCTCCTCTTTTATATACAGTCCTTTCTGGCTATCCTGGAGAGGAAAAGTGAAGTAGAGAGGAAACGTAAAAGATGAAAAGTAGCACTAACCCAATTTTAGAACCAATTTCTGATAAAAGCATATTTCTTTTACTCTATCCAGTCACTCGCCATCCTTCCCTGGATTTTATATGCATCCCATGTATTCTTCTTGCTACTGGATCAGTTTGTTTCACCTTCACTGTGGAGCCTGAGAATTCTTTCCGTACAACACACATAAGGCCAGCCAGAAGAGAGACTGCCCAACTTATCTGCACACCATTGTATCTCATCTCTGCAGATGCAAAGAACAGAAATCATCCAGGTAGTGGCTGAGCTTTCAAGGGCTCTTAGGCTCAGCTGCTTCCTTCTCCCTTCACTATAGCACTATAGCACATAGTAAGCCATGGCTTGTCTTAACCTGCATTTATTTTAAAATCATACTGGCCTTGACCTACATGAATCTAAGACATGAACCACACCTTGTGGAACATACATGTTGTACAACATGTTAAACCAAATGATCCATATTGCCACATTATCCCCTATCAAAATGGGCTCCCCCTATCAGGCAGCAATTCCTTAGTTTCAGAGAAACTGCTGTCTGTTTTGTCCACATCAGTTAAGCTATGGTTTGTGCTTGCTCTATAAACTATAGCAGGAAAAAAAAATGTAGCTTGTCTTTTGAATTGTCCCAAAACAGTGCATGAAGGAAAAGTATGTGAGCCTCGGAATTCTGGAAGCCTAAGCCTTTTGTTGTGCTAAATTATCAGCCCTGAATCAAGACATAAAATATTTACATCCAGTACAAGAACAATCAAATTATGGCTGCCTATATTGAATGCTATTGACTTACTTGTCTCTTGAAGCTCCCAGAGCTAAAACAATGGGGTCTGCGATCTCCAGCATGGACTGCAGGATGGATGCCACCACAATGAAGAGAATAATACTGAGCAGGAAGGCCCGATGTACCACTTGTAACTCAATGAGTCCAGTCTGCACAGCCAGGATCAAAAGTGTGACTCCTTCTGTCATCCCCCTTTGTAGAATATATTTTTAAAGGCAATGAAAAAAGATCAAAAACAAAACTGTAGTTCTCTGTGATCTTAAAAGCACACGACTACCATACAACTGTCTTCCTAAGCTTTCTGATGTGGCCAAATATCTCCCTTATCGGATGATCCCAGCCAAAGGATTTTTGCTCAACAACTCTCAGAGGGAGATTTTTATCTTGACTTTAAGCTATTTGTCAATTTGCTGGATAGGCAGGCAAAGCACCATCCTTCAATGTTAGCCATTCATCAATAACTCAAATGAATAAATGTTGCCTGTCTCTGCCTCTCTAAACCGCAGCTCTCTAATCTATAGATCAGTAATCTATGGTGAGTTTGTACAGTTGTGTGTCATATAATAAATATACTTTATCTTGTATTGTTTGAATACATTTCATATTTGCTGCACATTTCTGAACATTATCCACATAATTTAAACATGGCAAGAGATATATATGTATTTCAGTAATTATAATGACAATGATCTGAACCAGGATGGTTTTGTTCATGCGATTTCCACTTGAAATGGTCCCAAATCACTTTTGATTTCTATTTTTTCTGGTGAAAGGAAAAAGCTTCATCTGTTGCTGAATACAGGTGAACTGTATTCAGCAACAGATGAATACAACATACTGAAAGCAGGTTTTTAGGTTGAAATAAAGAGAAATGGTGATAGAAAGAAGTTTACAAGTCCGTGTTTTTCAACCTTGGTGACTTCTAATCTGCTGACTACGGCATTCTGAGAGTTGAAGTCCACATAACCTTAAACCTTATTAATGCTGAGAAACACTGCTATAGGTTCTGAAAATTGCAGTGTTATTAACATGTTTTAATACAGATTGTTAAGCCAAGAAACTGGAGGAACAATGCAAAGAACGCTGTACATCAAGGTGGCAAGCAAATACCAATTCCACCTGAGCTAACGAAGATGCTGTTCTTTAGAAAATAAGATCATAAGAAGAGGATTCAGTGACCTGTCTAGTCTATCCTGAGTCCAGAGATTCCAAATGATTTAAAGAAGCCTTCCCCAATCCAGCAGTATAAGCATACAGGTGAGACAAAAGGAGAGTTGCACTTCTATTAATAAACAGTAAGCTTCTTAGAAAATATATATTGTATCTAAATAGTATCTGAAGGTATTTGGGGGTGTTTGTTTTAAAGAGATTACACTGTGCAATATGTCTAATTTGCTTTAGGATAATAAACATGGGATAGGCCCTTAAAGGGTTAGAGGTACTCTTATTTGGGCACTTACCGATTCATAGCTGGATCATTCATGAATGCCCGGTAGCCTTGCAGGTAAAATTTGCAGAGTGTTAGAACGCCAAGGGCCACAAAAGAGACAGTGAACACCAATCCCAGCAAGGAGTAAGGAGTGCTACAGCATTCTGCAATGCTATGGAAAAGAGCATACAGCAACATTGGAATCCATAAAGTTCTTAACACAAAGGAGAACCAGGTGTACTACATGCTGTTGGATAAAATGTATTCAAAGAGAAGACCACGTGCGGAAGAGAAGTTTAATGAAAAAAATCATTGTTTGGTTGCTCCAAAATGCATTCAGTTTTCTTCAACAAAACTTCAATTCAGAATTATTTCCAAAGATGCAAAATTCAACAGATGAAATTTGTAGCATCATTTCCCATTTAGCCAAGCATTTGAAACAAGTAGATAATAGTTGTTAGGCAAACTACCATATTTTTCGGAGTATAAGGCACACCTTTTTCCCCCAAAAAAGAGGGTGAAAATCTGGGTGCGTCTTATACTCTGAATGTAGCCCCGCCCAACCTCTCAAACTGAGGTTTCAGAGGCTGAAAAAAGCTTCAGAAATGAAGCTTCAGAAAAAAAAGCTCTGAAGCTCTGTTTCAGAGGCTTTCAGAGGCAGGAAAAAAAGTTTTTTCTGAAACAGAGTTTCAGAAGTTTCAGAGGCTGAAAAAAAAGCAAAAAAAAAAGCAAGGCACAGAGCTCACAACCAACGAACCTCTTGCTAAAATTCACCTCTGGGAACAGCTGATTGGGGGTATTCCAGGAGGCCAATCTACCCGCCAATCAGCTTTTTCCTTATTTTCCTCCCCAAAAATTAAGGTGCGTCTTATACTCTGGTGCATCTTATACTCTGAAAAATACAGTAGGTGTGTTATTTGGGATGGGCAGAGGTCAGTTATGTGGCTGGTCTGGTGTATGTTTTTTTTTTTTTTAAAAAAAATGATTTATATGCCGCCCTTCTCCGGAGACTCAGGGCGGCTTACAATGCGTTAAGCAGTAGCCTTCATACTTTCGTATATTTATACAAAGTCAGCTTATTGCCCCCACAAACTGGGTCCTCAATTTACCTACCTTAGAAAGGATGGAAGGCTGAGTCAACCTTGAGCCTGGTGAGATTTGTACTTACAGTAATTGCAGACAGCTGGTGTTAAATTACAGAGCTCTGTCTGTTGAGCTATCCAGGCTCCACAGACAAACGTATGTGTAACGTTTGTCTGTATCAATCTAAATTGGGGGGTGTCAAACTTAAGGACCAGGGGCCAAATCCGGCCTGCTAGGTGCTTAGATCTGGCCCATGGGGTCGCCCTAGAAACAGTGAAGAACTGGACCCTGGTGCCTCTGCCAGCAAAAACGGAGCTCAGAAGGGCTGCTCCATTTTCGCTGGCAGAGGGTTGCAGGAGGCAGTCACAGCCGAAAATGGAGCTCGGGAGCCCGTTTTCTCTGGCAGATTGTCACATAAAGTCTAAATCTCTTTTTGATGGGTGACAAACCCCCCACCCCCAATCATAATCATCAACAGAATAAATTCCACTTATTTCCAGTATTCAAACTATTTCATCTGTCTTATTATAATAAAAGCAAACTGAGCATCTTTAGGGGAGGAAATTCGTGTGAATCATGCCTATTTCTTTTCCAGCATTTCATTTCATTTCTATGTTGCTCACTAACACTTTATTCAATTACACTTAGAGTTTTGAGGACAGTCTTTAAAAAGAGCAATTTTTCAAATCCTCTAATTGTGAAGATTGGTTTATCTAATACATTTTCTAGAGAGAGCTCAGAACACACAAAATTGTATAATGTATGGTCCTAAGGGACCGTAATGCTGAGATCAAATAAATTACAAAATAAACTTTTCCATTGGGAAAGATTACACCTAAACTGAGCAGTTTCTAGTTTGAAAAAATACCAAAGACACCCATTTATTGTCATTTTGGCTACTAAACCCCCCCCCACTTCTCACAACACTGTTTTCTGATAAACATTTTATTTTATGAAGAAAAAAATATTACAAAAGACTATCACAATTCTTTGATCTAGAAAGAGAGAGAGAGAGGGAGGTAGGGAGGGGGAGAGAGAGAGAAAGAGAGGGAGAGAGGGAGAGGGAGTGAGAAACAGATGCTTGTGAGGTAAACGTGGTTATCTGTAAGTGCTTCATCTCATTTGTAGAACAGCACTTTCAGCCCTTTCAGATAGATTAACTAAGGCCAAGAGTTGACAATTGCTAATTACCTTGTTAGGAACAGAAAGAGAAGCCTCTCCCTAGAGGCTGGCTGATCCCGAGTGCTGAAATAGGAGTAGATCTGGAGAGCAAACAGTAGAAGCCAGAAGACCATGAAGAGGACAGGGACCACGAGCTGGTTCCATAGAGTCATCCCCAGGGCCAGCAAACCATAAACTTCTACTATCTGGAAGAGAAGATATGGGTTTCTTACTCAATTAGAATGCTTACCTCAAATGAATGAGTGTTTGCAATGAGATAGCTTTCCCTACCCACTATCTTCCATGTACATTGGCCCACATATACAATCATTTGCCATCTGGCTTTAGATCATGAGTGGTGTACAGTACAAATGTTATCTGAATGGTATATGAGCATTATTGAATAGTATTGAGTTAGATAAATGGTATATAACACATCTACAAGGCATTAGATTGGAATTTGTATTTATTCATTGAATTTATGCCCTGCCTGTTTATTCCAGTAATCAAGACAGTTTACCATTATAAAGTACAGTATAAATCAAAACAAAATTAACACAGTTAAAATCAGAACAAAAATAATCTAGTCATTAAAAATAATTAATAACTAGATCCTTGGCAAACACTCCCAAGAATTGAAAGCAAATGGTTCAGTTTAGGGAGTGTATTCCATAGCTTTTCAGCCATGGAGGAGAAACTAATCAAAGAGGGAACCAACCTAGAACTAAGGAGAAATTGCCTGGCAGTTAGAACAATTAATCAGTGGAACGACTTGTCTCTATAAGTTGTGGTTGCTCCATCACTGGAAGTTTTTAAAAAGAGATTGGACAACCATTTGTCTGAAATGGGATAAGGGTTCCTGCTTGAGCAGGAGGTTGGACTAGAAGACCTCCAAGGTCCCTTCCAACTCTGTTATTCTGTATTATATTTGATAGTCAAGCTCCTGACAATGGGAGCAGAAGGTCCAATCATCATTGCCCTGAAACACAACCATCCTAAATTTTGTCTAGTTGACAACTAGTAGCCACTGCAAATCTTTCAGTGCCAACACCACACGATTAATGTACCTTGCACCAGTCAGCAACTTGGCTACTGCTGAGTTACATACCAACTAACATTTATTTATTTGTCAAATTTATATAGCCCTTTGAATGGTCAAAATTCCCAGAAAATCCTGGAATCTTTTAGCTGCTGACAAGATTTTAGGAGATTAGAAGACAGGAAATTGCAGAGCTTGTTGTCATTAGCATTAGTCATTAGCTGAGGTTTTCCCCTCTGAATGACTTCTGTCACCATTTTCAGCATCATAAAAGACAAGACCAACCTCTGTGGGATATCATAGGTCAAAGACCTTCAATAGCTCCCAGCTCTATTTTGTTGACATGTATTGAGATAAGGACCACAGCAGTACATCCAAGGCCTAACTTACTAGATGACCTAGAAGGATACAGGATCACAAGCTGGCAAGAAATCCTAGAGAATCAGTAAGGTTGCATAGCCTACCAATTTTTGGTGATGGTTATCTACCAAGGAGATCAAAGGAATCTTAGTACCACGTAAACTAAATCACAACTGAAATGGTTCCAAAAAATCAATTTCATCTCACTATATACATAGTGAGAATCAGTTTGGTCTGGTGATTAACGCACCAGGCTAGAGACTAGGAGACTATGAGTTCCAATCCCACTTTAGGCATGAAAGCCGGCTGGATGGCTTTGGGCCAGTCGCTCTCTCTCAACCCAATCCACCTCACAGGGTTGTTGTTGTGGGGGGGGGAAGGAGGAGGAAGGTGCGTTGGATATGTTCACCACTTTGGATTATTTACAAAAATAATAAAGGCAGGATAAAAATAAATAAAAACAAATGGTGTTTTAGAAGCCAAAGCACGCGCACACTTACACCAACTATTTTTTGCTACATTTCTGCTGACAAATCATATAACTCAAGTTTAAAAGAAGCCGGTGACATAAATATGAATCACTACACCCTCCCACTCTTATGTTATATTGCTGCTATTGCTCTTTAATTCACAGTTCATGGTGCAGACACCAATGTGTGCATGACAATTCTGTTTATTATTAAGACCCATGTGATGACTTGGCACCTCACAGCTCTAAATAAAGTGCAACTCTCACCTAGCTGCAGCAGAGACATGTTTTATGATACTGCCTCTTCTATGGAGTCAGGAACATTGCACCTCTTTTTGTAGATTTCCCAGAATATAGAATTTTTATATTATATATATATATATTTGGTATTTAACTACCATCTCACATCTCTGTCAGTAGCCAAATTTTGCTTTCCTGCCTCTAAGATCAGAAGCCAAATTCTGATCCAGCGAGAGAAACATTCTGCCTGTTTTGTTTTGTTTTGTTTTTCCTTGTTGGCTTTTTAAAAAAAAATTTTTTTTTCCCTTTTCTGTTTTCCTTTCTGCATTTCGGCTAGCAAATTGAATGAACGAAATGAAAACGAAGCTTTCCTAAAGGACGGCATGTCCAGGCAGACGGTGCTGGGGATTGATTTTTCTCAAAGGAAGAATCGCTGCAGAGGATTAATGTGGGATAGAAAAGCAAACAAGGGGAAAGTGAAGTGTGATCCCAATGACTAATTGAGCTGGGGAGGAGATGCTTTCCCCTAAAATCTGTGTGGCTTCCAGTTTAATTACAGCAATGCTGAGCACACAAGAGTCGGCTTGGCTCCTAGAAAATCCTCTGGGAGCAGGCATTGTGGTTCTAGCAATTGAACATCTAACATCCAAAAAGCATTCGGTTGCTATTCCTACTTGATTACAGTTTGGGGTAAGGATTTTTTGAGGAGGGAATTTAAAATGGAAAGTTTTCTTTCTAAAATTCACATAATTCTACCAATGCTCTGGCTAATCCTTCCCTGGCTGTTTCTTTTAAATAGTGTGGAAGATATTTGTACCATCTTTTCCTGAAAATTCCTGACAAAGGGACAGGTTAAGAAATCCAGGGAAGCTTATCAAAGCTTATCAAAGAGAACTGCAAGGAATGCAATTTGCATCCAGAAAACGGCGTGCTCGACACTAAGCTTTGTAACTAGTTCTGCCTTTACTTCTCCCTCCACCAAGAAATGTGGTTTTCGAACTGACATGCCCTGGAGAGGTACCTGCAAAACGAAATTGACTCTGCTGCACATTTTCATCTACTGATGGCCCTTTCAAGAGTTCAGTATTAATGTAAGCTGAACCAACTTTTGTGTAAGATGAGTCAATCGTCAGGCTGGCTTTGTGTAATAAAAACCTTCAATTTCAGTAGGAAGTTTTAGATTTTTTTTTTTTTAAGCATCAGAAAGCATGCACTTTCTTTTTTTAGGAGAATAAGATTGTGATTACAATGTGCTATTAACAAAAGTTTCTATTCCTAACTAGTGATTACACAAGATTAGAATCTTAACACAAAATCACTGAGCTATAATTATATTAGATTGCGTACCAATTGCTTGAAATGCAATTGGGGGGCAATTATGTTACTTTATATAATACTCTTCCTTTGTTCTGTTCTGCACTGTACACTGTTATTCTCAAACACTGTTTATTTTTTATTAGCACCTCTCCTACAAAAACTGCAGGACATGAGTATCTTCTAAATAGGTTAAATATTCTGAGTAATTTACAAAGGAAGTTGGTAAAATGATAGTATGATCCTCAAGTGTAACACAGTTGGCATTTCTCAATGGCTGCAAAGTTCCCTCCCTAGGGAACGTTGTCCTTTTTGGGGTTCTGGAAATCCGCTATTTTCGGGGATGGGATGGAGGAAGTACGCCACATACTTTACCTTCAGATCTTCACAGGAAAGGTGAAAAAATGAAATAGATCCAATTCTACAGATGCAATAACTGTTTTGTAAAATGATGACATAAGTTGCCTTAGTGCCCTAACCAGTTGTGCATGCGACAATAATCAGATAGCTTCTAAATCAAAGGATGAAACTTAAGGAACAAACTCTAAGGAGGCAATGACATACACAGAAAAGGAAGACAAGAAATCTGTACACAGAAAACCTTTGGATGTTGTTTCTTCTCTTAGGCTATTTGGAAGAATTCCAGTGGAGCTGCTTCTTATTAAGGATTCTGTCCTGTGGGCAGCCTAGTCTGCATGCGCAGAAGTTGGAAAAAGTTGCCCACAGCATGAAAAGCATACATCAATGCTCCAATTAAGTGGCATCTAATCCTTACACAACATGGTGGTTTTGGTTAGGATTCAGGTAATTTATATACATCCTCGCGGTGCCGATAGCAGATCTAGCTATGGTCGTTCAGTTTGTCCTTAAAAGATCTATGAGGGAGACTTTCCAACTTTTATGTCAGCAGAGAGAGAAAATGGATGCACAGGCAAACCAAGAACTTATCATCCAATTTTTCCTTTATGTAGTGTCCTTAGCTTCAAGCGACACAGACTAATTGTTTTGGTTGAAATGTGTTGAACTGTAGACCCAGGCTCACATCTCCATTCAGCAATTATTTGGGACTAGTTGCCAAATTGTGGCCAAAACTAACTCAGAAGATTTCTAATGAGAATAAAAGGAAAGATGGACAACCATAAATGTCCCTTTGAGCCTCACAGAAAAGGAAATATGCTGCAGCTTCATACTACTTTATGCAAAATAAATAAATAAATAAATAAATAAATAAATAAATAAATAAATAAATAAATAAATAAATAAAAATGCAAAATAAAATACTCCTATTCTTCCATCTTTCCACCAGTGTTACTGGTTCCCAACGTAGCACTAGTTACATGTTTAACATCCCATTAATTGATATTAATTGTCCTTTAGGTCAGCCTTTTCTTTCCTAGAGATGATAGGAATTTTAGTTGCAAAGATTCTAGGGGCACCTGGCTGGCATGGACTGTTTTTCATGAAATAAACTAGCCAGTTGAAACTGTTGCCCACTGAATTTTCCCTAAGCGACACAGGAAGAAAATGGAATTACAAGATTGTTATTTTAAAAGAGAGCAGACCATCTTGTTAATTAACAAGCTGATGGTTATTTATATGTCTTCAATTCTACAGCTGTATTTGAGATTGCAACAGCATAATTAGCAATTTCAGTGGTTCATTAACTTCACAATTTAAGGAGTCATAGTATTTTTTTAATCCAAAGGATTATCACAAACACACAAGAGGCAATGTTTAGAAAAGGGAAAGACTATCCTGATTTAGCATCTTGCAATGGTGTCAAAATGTACTGTTTGTAGATGAGATTTTACAGGATAAATCAACGAAAGTCAGGAGGGGAGTAAAATTTGGTCTAGTGGTTAGGGAACAAAGCTAGAAACCAGGAAACTAAGTTCTAGTCCCAATTTAAGCACTAATGATAGGTGGATGACTGTGGACCAGTCACTCTCTTAACTCACCGAGTTGTTGTAGGGAAAATAGAAAGAGGAAGGAGCATTACATACGTTTGAGTTATTTATAAAAATAATAAAGATGGGATAAAAATTTTTTTAAAAAAAGAGTTGCAGGCACTGATATTACATTAGAACAGTCCAACCTAAAATCCATGGCACTTAGCTCATGATTTAATAACAAATTACACCAATAAATAAGGCTTAATAGAGAGCTTGATAAGGGATGTAGCTTCAATGCATTTTCCAAATGATTATTAACCCTTTTAGACCTGTCTCACACTCATATTTCATCACTTAAAAAAACAAAATCAAAACACATTTTTTTTATTTTATTCCAAAATATTTCCATTCTTCTGCATCAGTAATTGTTTTCACACATTCAGCTATAAACCAGTGTTGAAGGTCTAATGAGAAATCAAGAGATTTATAATGTAATATTCAAAATATACATAACTGGCAGCAGTAAGTAAAAATTCCTGCTTTAAAATGTCTTACACTATCCACGGACAAGACAGTATTTTCTAACATTTTTTCTTTAAAATTTCCAGCTACCCATTGAATAATATTACAAGGGTTCTTTTTCACTCATTACCCAAAATGTCATATGAAGTATAGGTAATCCTCAATTTACAACCATTCATTTAGTAACCATTTGAAGTTTCAACGACACTGACAGAAATGACGTACAACTGGTCCTCTACTTATGACTGTAGCAGCATCCCCACAGTCATGTGATCAAACTTTGGGCGCCTGGCAATCAGCATGTATTTATCACCATTGCAACGATTTGGTGTCATGTGAGTCAAAGGGGAGGGGGAGTTGGATTTGCTTACTTAACAACCAAAATGATTCACTTAACATGAGTCATGAGTCACAAAAAAGGTAAAATTGGATGTGATTTACTTAACACAACTACCTTGCTTAGCAATGAAAATTTCAGTCCCAATTTTGGTCATAAACCGAGGATAATTTATATTTATCTTGTACCCCACAGAAAAGAAATGAATAATTTGCACTGGCCAGTTTTGTCCCCCCCCCAAATATATATATATATATATATATAATCATAATCAGTGCTGTTTACAGAATAGCTCTTACCTGGACAAGTTCTCTATAGGCAGACTTCGCTAAATTGAATGGCACCAAAAGATTCGACGCCAGGAAATAGAGGACTTCCAAGCCAGTGAACACCATTGCAAATTTGTTGATGATGACAATAGTTTCCAAAGGAACTAAGCAGAGCCGGGCCAGCAGAGGGAGCATGTGAGCAGAAAATAGCCAGATCTGCTTGGTTTTCATGACACAAGAACAAAGGGTGCAGACCACCAGCTGACCTGCAAAAGATTAAGAACACCAAGCAGTTAAATCCTGTCACTTTACAAAAAAAAAAAAAAAAAGAGCAGGGAAAAAAGTTTCTCATTATAAGGCCTTTTCCTCTCTATCTCTGAAAATCCCAACCACATCTTTATTTTGATTGTCCCTCTCATTTAGCAATGACATGTGACTTGTATGAGTAATTTTATGGGCTTGGCCATTTATTTATTTATAAATAAATAAATATTTATATATCCTTGAAGAAGGCAATGGCAAACTGTCTTCTTACTCTTGCTGTGAAAATTACATGGCACTTCTGTGAAATCACCAGGAATCAAGTTTGACTCAAAGGAGACTTCTTTTTATGCCACTGGAATAAAGGTCTCATACGTGTTTTTAAAAACCATACGTGTTTTATTTTATAAAATAATCATGGGAAAACGTGCAGCTGTTAGTTGGCTCTTTACAGCCCAATTTCAATAGCCCAATCTCAGAAATGGGGAATTTATGAATATTCACGTTCAGTTTTTCAAAATCTGCATATATTAAAAAATGAACTAAATTAAAAAACAACTCTTGACAATGAAACATAAACCTATATGTGCCTCTTTTTTTAAAAAAAAGAAATCGTAATATTTAAGCTCCCTTCCTTTTGAATTATGTGGTCCGAAAATTTGAAGACAATTAGTTCCTCCTACACTTGGCTTGGCTCATCATTTGTAACAACTTGTGGAAAATTTCCCTTAAAGGGTAATTTATATAAACGAAATCAGCTCATAATCATGAATATTGCAACAGTGTTATAAGTTGAGATGAAAAAGACCAGACCAGAACAATGTATCTACTACTCATGCATTTATGTAGAGTATTTCAAATAAAATCTTCAATAACTTCCAAGATCATGAGTGGGTATACCACAGAAGAGAGTGTGAACATTATCTTGAAAATTACATGATGAAGTTGCAAGTACACTGCATTCTTGATAAATTTCATACTACAACCCATAATTGCTAAGGACCCCTTATACTTCACTAGTAACTCTTGCTCTAAGATGTGATACTTAGGAGTAGTGAAAAGTACACTTGAGATCCAAATTGCCCAATATAGTATAAAACAACCATTGTTTTTTTTTTCTTTTAAAATATTTATATTTCCTTACCAGTCATTGGCTACATATTAGCTCTTCATCAAGTTTTGACCATCAAAGAAACTTTTTAACTGATGATTCAGTTTGACTTCATCTTTCTAGTGTTTAAGAGTAGCAAATGACATGCTTGCAAAAAATGCAGTGAGGCTAAATAACAGACACACACCCTTCTTAGGGCAAGTTCAAACTTAACCACATTGGTTCAGTAAACACGGTTATTAAAACGAAGACAATTCTGCCTTTACCCATGCAAAAATCAGGTTATTTGCAACCATAATTTCCATGTGTAATCTTGAATTTAAACAAAATCAATTTTGAATATTGATAATAGACTTCTCTAATGAGAATGTAAATGCTTGCTTCTGATATCTAAAGCACAAGTTGATCCCGTAAGGTGGTTAAGTCATCAGGCTAGAAACTGGGAGACCATGAGTTCAAGTCCCACCTTAGCCAGAAAAGCCATCTGGATGATCTTGGACCAATTGCTCTCTCTCACCTCAACCCACCTTACAGGGTTGTTGTTTTGATGAGAATAGGAGGAAGGAGGAATATATATTTTCACCGCTTTGAATTGTTTATAAAAAATAATAAAGGTGGGATATAAATAAATAATAGAACAAGATCAGCTGATATGTAGACAAAGAGTTGAAATTCTGTAGATACAGTAATACAAAAAGCCAAACATGAGAACCAAGCCAGTATTTGGTACTTTCATCAACGAACAAGTCTTATGATAATGTTATCATCTCCATTACTTCCCTTTTTATCTTACACTGTATTTGGTAATGATCTTATTTATATCATTCTTTTATATTGCTGTTAAATTTACATTCTGCTTTCCTTCCAGCAGCTCAAGGCTATGTATACTGCAAGCCCTCCTCCAATGTATCTCAGCAACTTTCCTTTCAGGTGATTTGGGACAGAGTGTGTTTGTTAAAAGTCACTTTTAGTGAGTGGTGGGTGTGTTTCAAGGCTGAGGGTAAACTTTAGGGATGGACAAACTGGTTCATGTACAGAACAGCTGTAGATTGTTTAGATGGTTCATGCCTGAACCGAAGGACGGTCTGAATATGGAATGAAATGAAACTGCTTTGTTCTGGATACCGACCAAAATGAGGTTGTTCCAAAGAAAAGTTCAGAGGAGGAAAAGACCAGGAAGATCAGTGAGACTGGCAACAGTTGGGAGAAGATCTGGGAAGATCAAGTGAGTGAGTGACTCACTAAAGATATCATGACAGGATGGGCTAAGGAGAAGAGAGCGGTTAAGACACTGAAGCCTTGCCCTAACTGCCCTATAAAATCTCACAGAACAGATTGGCAAAGCTTCTGGAGTTTAATAAATTCAACAACTTGTTTGTTTTGGATTCAAAACAAAACACACTTTCTCTTTCAGGCATACTTATAATTGATTTGAATTTGGGCTTTCCCAGATCCAATCATAATAGGACTAGCTGTAACCTTAACTACTATATCACAGTGACTCTCTTGTTCAATCTTTGCTCAAGCTTTCAGTATTCTGAGAAAAACTGTATGCAAATGCAGAAATTGTGCATCTGTTTCTTATGAAGCGTTTGTTTTTATAAATGGGGAAAGAACATGTAGCACTTTGAGTACTATTCCAGAATTATGAACTGGTACAATAGCCAGAGCCACAAAGTTTTGGCCAACACATTTCTATAATGTGGCTGCAATTGTTTTGGAAATGATCTAGAGAAATAACTCTATTATAAGCACAGTACCTTTCTATTAAGCACGAACAAAGCTGCAGCTCCTTTGAGGCATTGAATTGCTGAAGCCAACTATGCTTAAAGCAACTATATCAAAGTCTGAAAAAGGGGGCTGCTTTAGTAGAAACAGAGAATACTGTCTGTGCTCACGCATAAGTCATGTCCAAAGTACCGTATTTCCTGGAGTATAACACGCACCGGAGTATAAGACCCACCTACCTTTTTTGGTGAGGAAAAGAAGAAAAATAAATCTCCTTCTGCTTCTGAGCAATTTTGCCTCCTTGCAGCAAACGGCAAACTGCCTGCTTTACTTTCATTTTTGTTTTCAGCATAGCTTGATTAGCACAAGGAAAAAAAAATCTGCTCCAGCAATTTAACTCTTTGCAGCAAGCAGCAGAGCCCTGCACAAAACAGCTGAGAGCAAATCAGCTGAGAGTCAGGAGGCTGATCCAATCAACTTGTGCCAATTAGGCTGTGCTGAAGCTGAAAGGAGCTGTTTTTTCTTGCTGTTTGCTTGCAAAGAGATAACTGCTGTGAGGCAGAGGCCAAAGGATGAGGGCCAGTGGGGCAGGGCTAATTCAGTGTATAAGACGCACCTAAATTTTCATCCCCTTTTAGGGGGAAAAAGGTGCGTCTTATACTCCGAAAAATACGGTACTTATTTCAAACTATTTCTGAACCATGCACAATCCCATTATATATTCAGAACAATTGAAAATTGAAAGCTCATTAAAATTGAAAGCTCACCCATGAAAGCTGCATGGATTGGAATGATTACTACATTGGCTTACTCATAAACATCTATCATCTTATTAAAATATTATATTGGTTGCTGAGTTAGGAGTCAGCTTCTATACTGGCTGCCTCCATTCTGACAAGTCTCCCAGTTAGCTTATTAATCTTATTCAAAGTATCTCGCTGGATAACTTCCAAGTACCCAACCCCCATTTTGCTGTGAGATAAGTAATAATTAAAATGCATTTTTAAATTCTCTGGTCTTCTCCTGTATTAGTTGTACAAGTTATGATTAATTTCACAATCCTGAGATGTGCTTAGGCTCATAATGCTAAAAAGGTTAAAAATCAATGGGATTTAAAGAAAGAATATAGCTTAACAAATCAGGATGGGAATGAACAGTGTGATTGTACCTGGATGTTAAGCATATATACTTTTGTGTTGTAACTTTTTCCCTTCTGGTCTCCTATTAGAAGCCTGATAGATTCCATCGTTTTCGGATTTCTCCTACTTCCTTTTCAAAACTTATTACTTTACATACAAAATTTCTTGAGGATCCCAAGAAATGTAACAAAACACTATAGATTGTTTCTTCTGAGTATTACTGATGTTTTACAACAAATATAACAAGTTGTATCTCCTAAATCAGGGCTGTCAAACTCGGGAGCCACGGGCCGGATGCGTTGCATGCTGGTCACGCCCACACCCAGTTTAGCGAAGGGGGGAAAAGTTGCAATACATCACATGACGATGCGAGTTTGACACCCCTGCCCTAAATGGACTTTTGCAGCAGGATTGGGATCTTTAACGAATCTTTCATCATATCCCAGGGTGGATTTGATTTAAATTGAGTCGATTTAAATCATGATTTAAATCACTAGTAAAAAGGCTTGATTTAAATCAACTCGATTTAAATCATAATTTTTAAAGAGCAACTGTCATCTCTGCTACTCCTTTGACCCGCTGTTGACTCACCGATAGTCCCAGTGTTGCAGAATATACAGCCTTGTGCTACATAACTAAGCTCCATTTCATGCTGAATAAACGAAATTATTTATGTATCTTAAATAGAAAACTATCTTACGATAGATTTTTACCCCAAAAGTTTTTTATTAAAATAAATTCAATAAAAATCAAAAAAATCTGATTTAAATAAAAAAAAATCTGATTTTTTTGATTTTTTTTAAAAAAATCATTGATTTTTATCCACCCTGTCTTATTCACACTGTTCTTAAATTGGGAGGGTAATTTGCACACCATATTGTGCTGTGATCTGGGTCCTGCGCCTTCCCCATCTCTTTCTTTTTCTAGTATTTCTTCCAAGCAGAGAGGCTCTGTCTGGTTATCTATATAATATACCCTGGAAATTAGCAGAGGGACTAAAAGACTTTTTTAAAAAAAATATGTACATGTTTTCATCAAAATTAAATATGGGAATACTCCCAAAAGAATTAACAACTGTAAAATATGGACTGGCAGGATATATGAAAGATGGAAGAGACATCAATATTTTAAAGTTGCAATAAACTCATGTTTCTTCCTCTCTTTGAACAAATAAATCATGCTTATAATGAACGGCAGAAAATTAGCCCAAAAGGGGAGATGGAAAAGTTGTCCATAGAGCAAACTTTTTTCAAAACCATTATCCATTCATCAACACAAAATAAATGAAAAACCAAGACTAGGTCACACACCGTAGTTTCAATAAGTAAGCCGTTTAGATTTCATTATTAAAAGGCAAACTGATTTCCTGTCAGACCAGCTGTAATCTTTCTATGGGTGACAAATCTTTTGAGCTACAGGGCTGGAATGTTTTTCACTTCGAAAGAATCTATCAATCTTTGACTGTAAATCTTTTAAAAAAAACAAAAACAGCCAAAATCACAAAGCCACCATGAAAACCAAAAACCCATCCTCCTTCAAGTTTGAATACGGTATCAAGTTCCCAATTCAGTAAATTGGTTGATTCATTTTCTTTGTTGATAGTTGGGAAGCTCTGCTTCCATCCTCTGTGTTGATCAAAGAGGACTGGACAGCTGTTGTGAGAACAGTTGTTTAGATGTTGGGATTCCAGAGTCTGGACATCTGGTATCCCAAAAAGAAGTAATCTGAGAGCTCTGTGAAAGAATCTCTCATGACAGCTTGCAGTACAATTACGAAGCTCTGTCTAGATAAAATAAGTTAAACACCATTTGATGCAATGTAAACTGGATTCGGTTCATATGCTTCCCAGCATCTTTTCACATATATGAGGTTTAGGTTTTAAAGAAGCCATAACTCATAAATATTGAATTTGAATTGAAGGAATGGTGGCTTCTTAAAAAACAAACAAACAGCAAATCAAAGCTTGAGTTGATCTTATTGACTGAACTATCTACTGTGCAGAATTCTTTACATGTAGTCGCAAAAGAAGGAAAATAGGACAACCGTAGATTTGTGCGGGTACTTTTTGTACAATGGGAAATAATAGTTTTCCAATGTCTTAACTGGATCTTAGTGCCAACACAATAGAATACTATTCTGAATTATAAAGGTAGTCCTTGACTTAAAACAGTTCATTTAGTGACTGTTCAAAATTACAACGGCTTTGAAAATAATGACTTATGACAGTTTTTCACACTTATGACCATTGCAGCATCCTCATGGTCACATGATTTACATTCGGATGCTTGACAACTGACTCACATTTATGTCCCGGAGCCACGTCATTGACTTTTGCAATCTTCTGACCAGCAAAGTCAATGGGGAAGCCAGATTCACATAACCAGCCACGTTACTAATTTAAGAACTGCAGTGATTCACTTAACAAATATGGCGAGGAAAGTCGTAAAATGGGGCAAAACTCGCTTAACAAATTTTTCACATAACAACATACATTTTGGGCTCAATTGTGGTCGTAAGTTGAGGAATGGTACCCTCCTTTCCAGTTTTAAGAATTAAAAAGATAAGTATATTATTGCTGAAGTGACACAATGCTAATGAAGACCTATTTTCATACTCCAGCGTGGTATATGAGAATAGGAATTGTTGCTATTAATATTGTTTTCTACTGTTATAAAGGATGACATGGAGGCACAGGGCATGCAACAACATGACATAAATGCTATTGGATTACTCAGAGGAAGTTATTGGTGGCATAAGATCTATTTTATTAACTGCAATCCTGAGCAAATCTTGCTCTTCTATAGAAGGTGATGATGTTTGATGTACTCACCGATTAAAGCTGTCACAAAACGATTCATGGAAAGAGGCTCTAAGTACATTGGCCCTTCGTAACCGGATTCTAGCTCACTTCTTACATAATCCCTAAAAGAAAATGAGCTACATTAAAGAACTTTTAACATGAAGCAATATTTGCAAAATGGGCGTAGTTTAAGACCAGGATCATACAAGATACAAAGTTATGATATTTAACCATGATTTATTCAATATACCACGGTCAACTTGTGAAATTATCAATCATAATATATTAAACCAATGTCACAAAGCATAATGGTTTAGTGCAATGTGAAAGCCCAGTCTAACATTTAAACATTATTTTTTTAAAAAAACAGCTGCCTATTCCATATGGTTCTCATGGATGACAAATCTTGATGATGTATATTTATTGATTTTATTAGGTGACAAAAAAGCTCTATGAGAAATTTAGCTATCAACCTCTCCCCACTAAATATATGCTTTCCCAAGAAAGATCATCCTCTATATCTCTCCCTCAGCCTTGTTATTAAACTGAATAACTGAATTATTCCAAGAATTCATTAATTAATTTGAATTTCATTCCTGAAGTTACCAAACCTCCCTAACAACATCTTTGCTTTGTGAAACCATCCTTTGGGTACAAAACAGTTGACAAAAAAGGCCAAAACTTTGGCACACCGCAAAAACTCTGCTAGATAGATGACCTTGCCTATATTTGAGAGATAAAAAGACCAATCTTCTGCCAAAGGTATAAAAAGATAAACATTCCATCTTATCTGAGAGTCATCAATTGTCAAGGTTTATAGTAGCTCTATTTCCGAAATAGGCCCATATTCTTCTGATCTTTAAAGATAATCCCTTAACTATTGCATCAGTTGCAATTTCTTTCTAAGTCTATATTGATTCATTTCATTTAGATCAGGGGTGTCAAACTCGACTTCATTGAGGGCTGCATCAGGGTTATGTTTGACCTCAGGGGGAAGGGGCAGAATGGGCGTGGCCAGGGTGGGCGTGGCCAGCTCAATGTCACTCATGTCGGGGGTGTGTGCTTTGCCAGAGAAAGCAGGCTCCCGAGCTCCGTTTTTGGCTGTGACTGCCTCCTGCAACCCTCTGCCAGTGAAAACGGAGCTAGAGAGGGCTGTATGCGGCCCTTCTGAGCTCCATTTTCACTGGCAGAGGCACCGGGGGCCAGTTCTTCACTGTTTCTAGGGCGGCCCCATGCGCCAGATCTAAGCACCTAGCAGGCCGGATCTGGCCCCTGGCCCTTGAGTTTGACACCCCTGATTTAGATTGATACAGACAAATGTTATACATACACCAGACCAGCCACGTAACTGACCTCTGCCCATCCCAAATTACACACCTACTTATTCCTTCTTTGCTTGCCTTAATCTTTCCTTCTGTTCCTTCCTTTATTAAAGCCACAATTTCTCTATAGTACTTTAAAGGCATAAAAAGATACAGGGCGTTTTTGTTTAGCAACTACAATTGGGAGTGGCAATTTAGTTGTTAAGCATCGTGGTCACTTGAATGAAACTATGATTCTGCTTACAATCTTACTTCAGCTTCTCTTTCCTTCACGGATCTGCAAAGGTCATAACTGCTCACAAATTTACTATTTCATCACTCAACAGTTGCTAAGCAAGGCAATTACCAGAAGAGGACTTCCTATAAACACAACAAAACCTAAGCAGTTGTATACCTATCTCCTTGAACTAGATTATGTTTAACTTGGATAATTGTACTTTCTTAGGTTATCAGCTGATAAACACTGCTTTTAAAAAAACAACAACACAATGAGGTCTGTTCATTAAAGAAATTCAATCAAAAACAATAAAACATACTACAGTACAGGTAGTCCTCAGTTGTTCAAAATTGCAAGGGCACTGAACAAGTGGTACTTCTAACTGGTCCTTGAAGTTCCAGCCATTGTACCACCGCTTCAGTCACATGGTTGCAATTCAGGCACTTTGGGTGGGTGACTGGATCATACCTACAAGAGTTGCAGCGTTCCAATCATGCGATCACTATTCGCAACCTTCCCTGCTGACTTCTCACCAGACAGGTCAATGGCAAAGCCAGCCGGAAAGATCGCAAATCCCTTCACTGCTTTTTCTCCAGAGGAGCCCTGCTATGGGGTACAGCTAGTCCTCAGCTTACAACAATTCATTTAGCGACCTTTTCGAAGTTACAATGGCACCGAAAAGAGTGATGTATGACCGGTTTTTCATACTTACAACCGTTGCAACACTCCCCCCCTTGGTCACATGATCAAAATTTGGACGCTTGGCAGCTGACTCCTAATTATAATGGTTGCTGTGTCCCGGGGTCATGCGATCCCCTTTTGCGACCTTCTGACGAGCGACGTCAGTGGGGAAGCCAGATACACTTAACAACTGTGTTACTAATTTAACAACTGCAGTGATTCATTTAACAACGGTGGCAAGAAAGATCGTAAAATGGGGCATAACTCGCTGGACAAATATCTCACTTAGCAGCAAAAAATTGTCGGGGCTCTATTGTGGGTCGTAAATCAAGGACTATCTGCATGAGATCTCGGAGATCTTGTAGTCCATAGTCTTACATGCAGTGTAGTACCCCATCCCTAGCCTGCATGCACTTGGGTGGCACAGCAGCAACCCTTGTCTTGTTCCATAGTATTCATCTGCCCTCCAGCCTGCTTGTAAGCTACGCTGGACTTGCAACTTCCAGCCACCTTATCTCATTGGCTTTGCTTGTGGGAAGCCAGCAGGAGGTTGCATGTCACAGTCATGGGTGGTCCTCGCTTAATGACTTGCAATTTTCACTTAATAATGGCAACAGGGACTGTCAGGATCGCTATCATTAAATAATGTGGCCATGTGACATCACACTATGCGACTGCATTCCTTAGCAACATAAAATTCTAGTCCAATTATTGTTGTTAACCAAGGACCGTCTCCTCTACTGACAATCACAACTGAGCCCCAAGTGTCTGCTAAGCAAGACAGTTTTTAAGACTGTCCATTTTATTAGCTTTTTTGCCACAGTTGTTAAGTGAGCCACTGCAGGCGTTAAGTTAGGAACATGGTTACTAACTGGATCTGGCTTCCCCATTGATTTTGCTCGTCAAAAGGTTGCAAAAGGTTACCGCAAGATCCCTTAATGTCGTAAATATGTATCAGTAGTCAAGCGTCCAAATTTAGAACACATAATCATGGAGATGTTGCAATGGTTGTTAAGTGTGAAAAATGGTCATCGGTCTTTTTTCCCCCATGCTATTGTAATATTGAACGGTCACTAAATCAGGGGTGAAATACTCCCGGTTTGGACAGGATCGCCCGATCCGGTAGCAATGGAGGTGGTTTGGAGAACCGGTAGCAAAACTCCCTGCCCCCCCCAAATGCCCAGCTGAGCCACACAATCATCAGAGGCTTTTTCTTTTAATTTTTAAAAGCATTTTTTCTACAAGCTCTTCGGCCGAAAAAATGCTTTTAAAAGTAAAAAAAAAAAAAAGCCTCTGATGATCGCGTGGCTCAGCTGGGATCATCAAAGACTTTTAAAAGAAAAAAAACCCTCTTTTTTCTTTTAAATGTCTTTGACGATCCAAGCTGAGTTGCCTGATCGTCAGAGGCATTTAAAAGAAAAAACCCTTTTTTTCTTTTAAATGCCTCTGACAATCCCAGCTGAGTTGCCTGATCGTCAGAGGCATTTAAAAGAAACTCAGCTGGGATCGTCAGAGCCTCTTGAAAGCATTTTTTTACAAAAAATGGTTTTTTAAAAAATGGTTTTAAAAGTAAAAAAAAAATTGGCCACGCCCACCCAGTCACATTACCCCCACCACCAAGCCACGCCCACAGAACTGGTAGTAAAAATTTTTAGATTTCACCACTGCACTAAATGAATGGTTGTAAATTGAAGACTACCTGTATTTGCAAAGCACAGCTGATTTACTGTCTTTATTACAAAGGTTGCAAATATCTGTCTGCTCAGTTTCACTTCTCCAAAAGTTATTGTAAGAATAAGTAAGTTTTTCCAAAGATGAATTCCAGAAATCATAAAGCATTCTGTAAAATTACTGTACAAATTATGGATTGTGAGACTTTTTTCTTAATAGGTATGTTTAAGAGAGCTGCTTTACTATATGAACTGACACTTGTCTTTACCTGTTTTTATCATTGGAAGAACAAAATGGATGTTCCTAAAAGAAGTGAGATATATTGAAAGGTGCAGCAGATATAACTCAAAGAAAAAAATAACTTGACAAAATTGCATCTTATCTTCCCCTGAAGTATAACAGATTCTATTACACTGCCATTGCAAATTAACTGGCAACAGAAAATAAAAATGCAATTGTAGGAAGAAAAAAAAAGGGGGGGGCAGAAGAATACAGTTCTTACAGCTTACACAGTGAATAACTAAGTCCCAAAATGGCTATGGCAGGGGTGTCAAACTCGATTTCATTGAGGGCCGCATCAGGGTTGTATTTTACCTGGGGGGGGGGAGGGGGTTGGGGAGGCGTGGCCAGCTCAACATCACTCATGTCGAGGGCCTGAGCACTCTGCCAGCGAAAACAGGCTCCTGAACTTCATTTTCGGCTGTGACAATTCCTGCAACCCTCTACCAGCGAAAACGGAGCTCGGGCGAACTGCCGGCAGCCCTTGTGAGCTCCATTTTCAGCTGCGACAGACTCCTGCAACCCTTTGCAGGAGCTCCGTTTTCTCTGACAGAGGCACCGCGGGCCGGTTCTTTGCTGTTTCCAGGGCAGCCCTGCAGGCCAGATCTAAGCACCCCGCAGGCTAGATCCAGCCCCCGGGCCTTGAGTTTGACACCCCTGGCTTATGGAGATTCTCAGTCATCCAGGTCATGGTTGTCTCAAAGGTGCTTTTTCAAGAGGCAAATGGACTTTCTGATTTTTCTTTGAAGAAGTTTTGCTTCTCATCCAGGAAGCTTCTTCCGCTCTGGCTGGATAGTGGGGAATGGAAGGATTTATACTCCTTGCAGACAGCTGGATCATTTGCATTCTTTTAGGGAGTTGCTGAACTTGGAGGTTCAGCATGTGTCATCAGGTTCTTAGCCAACACAACATATATGCACACTTCAAATACAAGAATACACTAAGGCAGAAA